ACACTGAGGGTTGCGATCCGTTGCCGGACACGGAAAAAAGACAAAAAAAAAAAAAAAGAGCAGAGTTACCTAGGACTCATCTGACAGCTAATTACAGCTCTGTTTACCTCCAGCCATGCATGCCATTTGTAGTGCCACAGAATCATAGTATATGGGATTATGGGTTGTTGCCCCAACAGTGCTGGGGGCTGAGATACCTGGAACCTTTCTAACATGCAGCCTTCTGAATTGCAAAGTATGTGTGCCCCCAGATAGGAATGGGGCCTGGGCAGGATGATTTTCAGGTCAGGACCCATCACCAGGCCCCCCAGCAGCCCAGGACATGGTGGGCTTTGCCCCCTCACCAGTGTCCCTTGCTCCACCCTCCCCAGTGACCCCAGCTCTGCCCCTCTCCCCGCCGCCGGCATCTCTGGCTCTGCCTCCCTGGCTCTGCCCCCCACCCCAACCCCAGCACCCTTGGTGCATGCAGGCTCTGCCAATAGGCTCTCTTGGCAGGGGGAGAAGATCTTCTATCTCATCCGACCAGCCTCGGCCAACATCTCCCTGTATGAGCGGTGGCAGTCGGCCTCCAACCACAGCGAGATGTTCTTTGCTGACCAGGTGGACAAATGCTACAAGTGCACTGTCAAGCAGGGCCAGACCCTCTTTATCCCCTCAGGTGAGCACGGGAAGCTCCGGGGACCGGGGTCCTGGGGCTCACAGACCCTCATCACGGCTACTGCTTTGTCCCCCTCTGCCTTCCAACCACTGCCCACTCCTTGCCCTGGGCTTCTACCTGCCCAGCCCGGTCCCCAAGGAGGGACCAGGTGGGGAGGGGATTGGTGGCAGCAGGAGGCCTGGGTCCTGTGTTCTCCGGTCCATGTGGGTGCTCCTCCCTACCATGGCCACCTCCAGGCTCATGTCCAGTCTAGGGTGACCCTGCTCAAGAGCCCTACGTGGCGAGAGCAGCCGTGGCATCAGACAGTGAGGCCGACCCTGAGGGAGCAGGGTGGCCATCTGCTGACTTAGGACTTCTTAAGGGATTTTTGGAGTCTATACAGAAGGCCTGTCATGAGCAGCTGTCCCCCAACCCCTGCCCCCGGCCAAGTATGTTAGAGAAAATTCTAGGCCTCCCGCTGCAGCAGATGTACACATCGCACTGTCTCTGACGGACTCCTTTCCTTTTAAAGTAACATGATTTTAGTACTGTCACCACACCTTAAAAAACGAATAATTAATAGCAAATGCCTAGTATCACCAAATAGCCAATCAACATTCACATTTTCTAGTTGTTACATATGTATTTATTTTCCCATTTTAAATCAAGGTCCAAGGGAGACCCACCCATTTTGATTGATATATAAGCCTCTGAATCTCTGTGACCTCTGGATCCCCTCCTTCCCTCCCTCAGCTTCTTCACAGCTACAGTTATTTCGGGAAGAGTCTGGCCCAGGCTCCATCTCCGAGGATAATATAAGGACCAACCCCAGCTCTTGGGGAGGTGCAGCCACCTGCACCTCATCTCCTCCTGCCCCTCCCAGGAAGGTTGGGCGGAACTCCAGGTGGCCGGACCTGGGACAGGCTTGCTCTTGGTCTGAGGACTGCCCTTATGTGGCCTGAGCAAGTCCCCTCAGCTCCTGAGCCTCAGTTTCCCCCTTTGGTGCAGGGTTGGATTGAACAGTCTGTGCCACCTCAGACATGGTCTCTCCCTGACCCTCTTACACAGAGGCCGAGGTGGCACCAGGGCAGAGAGCGTCTTCCAGGGAGGCCCTGGCAGCTAGTGAAGCAGCAGGGACAGGTGGGGGCACTGAGGTGCAGGTGAGCAGGAGCCAGAGTCCGTGCTGGTCAAGCAGAGGCCAGTGCTGGTCCCTAGACCAGAGCCAGGACAGACAGCCTCCTGTGGACCAATGGGAGCCGGTGGTGGGAGCAAGGTGGACAAATGCTACAAGTGCATGTCCCTGTCTCTCCCCCAGGCTGGATCTACGCCACACTCACCCCCGTGGACTGCCTGGCCTTCGCAGGACATTTCCTCCACAGCCTGAGTGTGGAGATGCAGATGAGGTAGCTTCTGCCATGCTGGTTGCCCTCAGGGCTTGGCTGGGCAGGGTCCCTCCCACTGGGTCAGTGTAACGGGCACCTTGGCCCAAGTCCTAGCTTGGTCTGACCTGTGGGTGGCCCTGGGATGACCATTGGCTTTGCTGGGCCTCCCTGTGCTGTGGGCAGAAGGAGGAGGTGGGTTCCATGGTCCTATAAGGTCCGCTGAGGGGCATGGGTGCTGAGCAGCCACCATCGGCCGTTGGTGGGTTTGGGGTCGCTTGAAAGCCTGCTGCCTTCTTTTTCTGGGCACTGACTGAGCTCTCTAGTAGTCTCAGCCTGCAGGGCCCAGCCAGGGCAGTCATCCCAACATGGTCCCATGGTCCACTCCCCATGCAGGGCCCAGTGGGGGGACCCACGGTGGAGTGGCCAGGGCATGGCCCTGGCATGGCTGCGGCCTGGATTCACCCTGTAGCATCACTTACATTGTACTCAATGTACTAAATAATGGCTCTTTGCTTTGGTTTCCAGAGCATATGAAGTGGAAAGAAGGTTAAAACTGGGCAGCCTGACTCAGTTTCCCAACTTTGAAACTGCCTGCTGGTACATGGGGAAGCATTTGCTTGAGGCATTCAAAGGTACGATCCCTCCAGAGAGGTGGCCAGACCTGGGCCCCTGGCTGGCGCTTACTCCCTTGGCCCGAGTTCTGCTTTCATGTGGCCTGAGCAAGTCCCCTCTGGACTCAGCCCCCTAGGCCTCAGTTTCCCCATCTGTACGATGTAGGACTGGATTGACCAGGCTGGGCCAGCTCAGATATGGCCTCTCCTACCTGGAGGGCTGTCCCGTATTTTAGAAGGAGTGCTGGGCTGTGTGTTCAAAAGGGCAAATGTGTGGGCCGGCCCAGTGGCGCACTGCTACAGTGCGCCGCTTGGGAGTGCGGTGGTGCTCCCGCTGAGGGTTAGGATCCCACATACAGACCGGCCGCTCACTGGCTGAGCGAGGTGCGGGCGCAGCACTGAGGGTTGCGATCCGTTGCCAGTCACGAAAAAAGACAAAAAAGGAAAAAAAATAAATAAATAAAGGGCAAATGTGCCTTCTGCTTGGTGCCTGTGTCCTTGGTGGTTATTAAAAATGTCCCCACCACTCTCCACACATGCCTCAGTGAGGGAGATGGGGGATCTGTCCTTGCTCTGTAACCAGCCTAGAGAGCCCCTCAACATGCCCTCCATCCAACGGCATGGGTATGAGTGGGTGCTGGGTCTGCTTGGGGCTGCCCCAGAGGGAACCCACCATGGGCCCAGCTGTGGGTGGTCCCTCAGCTGTGCCTGGGGGTGACGTGCGCTGGGGATAAGAAGGTGGCTGGGGATGCTTGGTGCAGGGCCATGGGGCAGCCCGGGGCCCATGTCCTGGTAGGACTGTGGCCTCTCACAAAGGTGGGGCTGGAGTATTGGGCAGAGAGGGACAGGCTGCCTGCGGTAGGGGCCTGGTGGGCAAACCACAGGTGAGATAGTGGGAGGGCGAGTCCTTCCCCATGCAGAGCGCATTGTTTGGGAGATGGGTTCCCTGGGTTCCAAGAGGAACCGTTGGCAGTTAGGCAGGTGGCCTGAGCCAAGGCCTGTGGCAGGTGGGACCCCACATGTCCCTCTGGCTGGCTGCTTGGCTGAGCATGAAGTCGCCGGTGGGTGGCTGACGGGGCACTCACCCAAGCTAACCACCATCTCCTCTCCAGGTTCTCACAAATCTGGGAAACAGCTGCCCCCACATTTAGTTCAAGGAGCTAAAATTCTCAATGGTGCTTTCAGATCATGGACGAAGAAGCAGGTAGGAGGCTTGTCACAGGTGCCCTGGGGTGAAGGAGCGGATGGCAGATGGGACGGCCTGCCTGGAGGCCGGCAGCAATGCCAGGCTTGTCTTGCTTCAGTGAAACCTGGCATAGGATGGGCAGGCATCTCCCCACTGCCTGTGGCGGCCCATGGTGTGCCCTGACCCCAATCAGACACCTGTACAAGGGCCATCCCCCACCCGCTGCAGAGTGGGCCACCTGAGGGGTTAGAGTGGATGGATACAGATTGAGAGCGCCCTGTATCAGGGGCCCCAGGCAGCGTCTCCGCAAGAGTTGGTGGGAGGAAGGTGAGCAGGTGCCAGCCTGCCCTTGGAGGAAGGTGGGTCTGAGAGTAGGGGACAGATAGCCTGGGGCGGGGATGGCCCTATGTGAACACAGGCCTGGAACCCGGAGAGGGCAGGGAGGGGTCTGGGAGAGCTGTTGGCCGGATGACCAGCTTCCAGTTAAGGACAGGATCGCTGTGGATGCCTTTCAGCTCCTCCTGGCCAGCCAGGCATCAGCTCAGAAGCCAAGCTGCCTAGTGCGGGTGCAGCCCCCAACCTGTCTTGCTCTGTAACATGGGCAGTCCTCCCTGTGTCCCCGCTTCTGTATGACCCCACTGCGTTAGCCCCTTGGGTATGGAGAAGCTGCTTCTGCAGTGGAGGCCCCAGAGAAGTTGGCCTCCAATTTCCCTGAGCATTTTGCCTGGGCCCTGGCCTCAGAAGGGAGAGGAAGGTCTGGCTCAGCCTCAGGCACCCTCTCAGACAGTGTCTCCTGCTAGGGACTCTCACTGTGCAGAGGCACTCGCCCACCCCAGGTCAGGCAGAGCCTGCGAGGGTTTGCAGGGGGTCTTCAGGAGCTTGCCTCTCATGGGTGGGCTGGGCAGTGAGGGGCAGCTTCTGCCTGTTGAGGGCCATTCTTCAGCCACCATCTCCCTCAGGCCTCGAGGCCTGGGCTGTCCAGGGCGTCTCTCCCACCTCACCTTGGCTGTGTGGCCATGTGGAGTAGCCTCATGCCCAGGAAGAAGGGACATTGCCTCCATCTATCCCACAGCTACTGGTGGTGCTGCAGGCCAGCCGCATGTCCTCTGGGACTTGGTAGAGTGGGGGTCACACAGAGTGTTCGTCGGGAGGGTCTGGCTGCAGACATGAGTCCAGGCATGCCAGGACCCCACACATTCAGGCCACACCCTGTGGCAGCCTTTGCCACATTCCTGTCCGGCTCAGCAGGCAGGGGACAACCTGGAATGCTGCAGCTAGGGTGAGTAGGGAACCATGGAGGCCTGAATGGTGACTGACGCCGTGCACTGTCCTGCAGGCCCTGGCGGAGCATGAGGACGAGCTCCCGGAGCACTTCAAACCTTCCCAGCTCATCAAGGACTTAGCCAGAGAGATCCGGCTCAGTGAGGTAAGGCCTGCCCTAGGGGCCTAGAGTCAGCTGACCCAGGGCGGTCAGCCAGGCAGGCTTGCCCGTGTGAGGCTCTGAGTCCCGGGTCTCTGAGGCTGGGCTGCGGTGTCCGGTGTCCGGGTGTGAGTGTGTAGGGAATGGGGGATGGCCTGGAGCCCCTCTGCAGCTCCCACCTGGCTCCAGCCTCTCAGGTCCCAGCTCCTGTGAAACCGGACGAGCCCTGCAGGCTCGTGCTTGGGCTGGGACAGAGAGCCCTAAGGACGTGGGATCAAGTTGCTGATGGTGTGGGATTGGTATGAGCATGTTGCACAATGGCGTGGGGCAGGTGTACGTGTCACATGATGGTGTGAGGTGGTAATGTGTGTCCTATGATGGTGTGGGACAGGTATGTGTGTCCTGTGATGGTGTGGGATGAATGTGTGTGTCATACGACGATGTGGGATGGGTGTGTGTCACATAATGGTGTGGGGCAGGTATGTGTGTCACATAATGGTGTGGGGTAAGCATGACTGTCAGTGATAGCAGGGGATGAGTGTAAGTGTGTCACACAATGGAGTGGAGTAGGTTTACCTGTCTGAGCTGACAGCCCTTTGCCAGCATGGCTGTGAGGGTCTCCAGAGTCTTGGCGTGTGGACGCTCCTGGGCCACAGTCTGGTAGGAGCAGAGTGTGACCCTCTCCTTTCCCTATCGCAGAATGCCTCCAAAGCTGTCCGACCGGAAGTGAATGCTGTCACCTCATCAGATGAAGTTTGTGACGGGGACCGGGAGAAGGAGGAACCCCCGTCTCCCATTGAAGCGACCCCACCTCGATCCCTCCTAGAGAAAGTTTCCAAAAAAAAGACTCCCAAAACTGTGAAGATGCCCAAGCCGTCCAAAATGCCCAAGCCCCCAAAGTCCCCCAAACCCCCAAAGCCCCCCAAAATGCTGAAGCTCAAGGATGGCAGCAAGAAGAAAGGGAAGAAGTCCCGGGAGTCAGCCTCGCCCACCATCCCCAACCTGGACCTGCTTGAAGCCCACACCAAGGAGGCACTGACCAAGATGGAGCCACCCAAGAAGGGCAAGGTGTGTGTGGCCTCTTTGGCCAGCAGCACTGCGGCACTTCCTGGGGCCAGGCCTGTGAGGATAGCTGGGACCACTTGTCCTGTTCTCTAGGGGCTTGAGGCTGGGCAGGGAGGGGAGCCGAGGGTGCAGCTCTCTGCTGTTCCAGCCAACAGTGCGGCGAGGTCCCTGCGAGGGTGCGGGGTCTGGGTCCTTGTCATGGGCAGTCTGCTCAGCACATGCACCTCCCTGCCTGCTCCCACCCAGGCCCATCGTGTCCAGGCCCAGACTTCGGGCAGACAGGCTCTGCCCCAGTGAGCCTGCAGAGGGCTGGACCTCAGGGAGAGGCACTCACAGAGGAAGGCGGCAGTGTGTTTGAGCTGTGGTGGGGTACAAGAGGGTTGCCTGATGGAGGGGGCAGGGTGGTCTTCCGGGAGGGGGTGACCCAGCTTAGTCTTCCCAGCCAGGTAGGAAGTTGCCAGGGGACAAAGAAGCCGTCCCTGTGGCTGAGGCCTGAAGGTGGACAAGGTATCTGTGCAGAAACAGCAGGGAGAATTCTAATGGAGAGGAGGAGGGATGAGGCTGAGGTGGGAGCAGGATTGTCCTGGTGGCCTGAACGCCTGTAGACAGTGAGAGAGATAGGCCTGGCCCTGAGGACCCACTCTGACTACAGGGTCTTAGGTCTGAGCATTAGGGACCATGAGCCCCCGACACCAAGCCCCATTGAGCGTGAGCTTCTGCCAGGAGGCTGTTACCCACTTCCTGGGGGCTGTTGACGAGCCAGGGCCAGTGTCACAGGGCTGCAGTGTGACATGAGCATTAGGGACCATGAGCCCCCGACACCAAGCCCCATTGAGCGTGAGCTTCTGCCAGGAGACTGTTACCCACTTCCTGGGGGCTGTTGACGAGCCAGGGCCAGTGTCACAGGGCTGCAGTGTGACACGTTCACATTTTTCCCTCAGGGCAATCACGAATGAATGAATAGATGATGAATGAACTAATGGTTGGATGGCTGGCTGGCTGGCTGGATGAATGAATGAATGAATGTATGCATGAGTGGATAGACTAACACAAGGATGAACGAACAAATGGATGAATGGATGGATGGATGGATAAATGAACAGATGGATGGATGAACAAATGGATGAACAAATGGGTGGATGAGTGGATGGATGAAATGGATGGATGAAATGAATGAATGGATGAGCAAATGGATGAATTGGAAGGGTAAATGGATAAATAGCTAGATGGATGGATGAGTGGATATATGAATGAATGTGTAGATGGATGAATGGGTGAACGGGTAGATGGGTGAACAAATGAACAGATGAAGGAATGGATGAACAGGGTAATGGGTTGATGAATGAATGGGTGGATGAATGGGTGGATGAATGGGTAGATGGATGGATGGATGTGTGAGTGGATGAACAAATGAATGGTTGGATGGGTGAATGAATGAATGGAGAATAAGCAAATGGGTTAGTGGGTGGATGAATGAATGGGTGGACGAATGGATGAACAAATGGATGTTTGGATGTGTGGATGGATGGATGAATGGATGGATGAATGAACAAATGGGTGGATGAACGAATGGGAGAACAAATGGGTGAACGAATGAGTGGGGAATAAACAAATGGGTTAATGGGTGGATGAATGAACGAATGGATGAACAAATGGATGGATGAATGATTGAAGGAGGCAGGGCCTCTGTAGCAATGCCTTTGTGCTGTAACCTGAGGGAGTCCCACCACTCTGAGTATCAGCCCCTGGGTCATGGCTGCTCTGTTGTCTAGGCCACTAAGAGTGTCCTGAGTGTGCCCAACAAGGACGTGGTCCACACACAGAACGACGTGGAGAGGCTGGAAGTCCGAGAACAAGCTAAGAGCAAGTCAGAGGCCAAGTGGAAGTACAAGGTGAAATGTGCACGGGTGCATGTGTGTGCAGAGATGTGAACCTGTGGCGCCCTGTGTGTGCGTCCGTGCTCACACACAGATGTGTGCTGCCTGTCCCCAGGAGGCAGTGCCATGAGGCATGTCTGTGTGGGTCTGGAGTGCATGTGGCCTCCCGTGGGCCACCTTCCGCAGGGTCAGTGTGGGTGCAGGAGGCCAAGCACGTCACCCCTCTATGTTGACGGTGGTTCTTTTCACCATCCGTGCTCTGGTTTGCTCTCCTGCTCCCTGCAGGTCAGGCAGCATTTGAGGACAGGTCCTGCAGTCTGGGGGCCGCAGCAGGGTGCTGTCTGTGGGGTATGGCCCGCAAGCTCCATTGCAGCATGGGGGGCTACTTTCCTGAGGTCCGTTCCTTGCTGTTGCCCTTGCCCACCGACGCTGGGTTGGGGTCCCAAACCCCCCACTACCGAGGTGGGGCTCAGGGATGGTCCTGGTCTTGCTTTCAGAACAGTAAACCTGACTCCTTACTGAAGATGGAGGAGGAGCAGAAGTTGGAGAAGTCACCCCTGGGCGGAAACAAGGATAACAAGTTCTCCTTTTCTTTCTCCAACAAGAAACTCCTGGGGTATGTGAGTGCCTGGAGGGAGGGGCGACTGGCACCCTGCATCTCTCTCTCTCTCTCTCTCACACACACGCATGCACGCACACACACCACACACGTGCGTGCACCCTGCATCTCACACACACACACACACACAAACACACAGCACACACCACACACCACACGTGCATGCACCCTGCATCAAACACACACATACACCACACACGTGCATGCACCCTGCATCTCTCACACACACACACACACACACCACACACGCGCGCGCACCCTGCATCTCACACACACACACACACACACAGCATGCACCCTGCATCTCATACACACACACACCACACGCGTGCATGCACCCTGCATCTCTCTCACACATACACACACCACACCACACACACGTGGCACACACTCACAGCCTTTGGCTGACACATCTTGGCGGGCTCCCCAGGCGAGGCCCCTCCTTCCGAGTGCTGTCTTCTCTACCTGCAGCTGTGCGCCTCACACCTTCATCAGCCCCAGACACCAGGAGAGCAGTGTCCCTGCCTTGGTCTGCAGGGCGAGCGTGGGGAAGCAGACTCACCTGGTGGTGGGGCTAGGAAGATACAGCTGCGGGGGCCTGTGGTGAGGGATGGGCCCCCAGGCCGGGAGGGAGGGCGCGTGACTCTGCAGATGTTAGCTGAGCGGCTGTCATGGGCTGTTGGCATGGGTGGGAGTCAGGGTCATGGCTCTCAGAGCCCAGGGGCCAGTGGGGAGGAGTCTGTATGATCCCACTAATCTTGTAAATCCACCTAGAATTATGGCTGTGATGGGTGCCATGGGGAAGGATTTGTGGGGCTGTGGACACTGAGGGCCTGGCTCATCTGGGAGTCAGGAGGGCTTCCTGGAGAAGCGGGTGATGGGGGTGCATGTCTGGGAGGCATGCGCAGGCCAGGCAGGCATCAGCAACAGGAATGAGGGGTGCTGAGGGCTATGAGCTGAGCCACAAGAGCTTCATGGTTCCAGCTGCCACAGTAGGGTCTGCATGTGCTCCCAGCACAGAGAGGCATCCCATATGCTGTTGCCAGGCCTGCCGAGAGTCAGACAGGGCCCAGTGGGAGTGGTGGCCACTTTTCTGCAGTGGCCACTGATTGGCTTCGCTGGGCGTCAGTTTCTTCATCCACAAAATGGGACAAGAAGGCCCCTTCCAGGTGGTGGAGATACAGCAGATGCCCGAGCAGAGCCCAGCAAGGGGCAGTCCCCTAGTCCCCTTGTGGGAGCTCAGGGCCCTGTGCTAAACTTGCTTAGTGAGAGGCAGAGCCCGCAGGGTCTGGTCTGCATGACCCCCTTCGCTGCCTCAACTTCGTGGCCCTGAGCACATTGCTGGCTTTATTTCTAGGTCCTGAGGAAGCTTTTAAATGACATTAGCTCTGTGATGATGCTATAGAGAGTTTAGAATGGAAAAGAGAGGGCAGTGGCGCTCCCGCCGAGGGTTCGGATCCCACATACAGACCGGTTCCCGCTCACTGGCTGAGCGAGGTGCGGGCGCAGCACCGAGGGTTGCGATCCCGTTACCGGTCCCGGTCCGGTCCCGGCGCGACACTGAGGGTTGCGATCCGTTGCCGGACACGGAAAAAAGACAAAAAGGAAAAAAAAAAAAAAGAATGGAAAAGAGAGAGGCAGATGTGCACATATGTGTTCTGTGGACCTGTGGATGCACATGTGTGTGCACGTATGCGTGTATGTTCTGTGGCTGGAGACTGTCACAGCCCCAGCGTCTCCATTTCATTTGCTCAGAATTGGAGCTGGGTCTGTTGAAGTTCCAGACATTTCTGTCCTGTGCACGTATGCGTGTATGTTCTGTGGCTGGAGACTGTCACAGCCCCAGCGTCTCCATTTCGTTTGCTCAGAATTGGAGCTGGGTCTGTTGAAGTTCCAGACATTTCTGTCGTCCCTATTCTTAAGAGAGAAACCCATCCTCAAGCCCCCGGGGTGGCTGAGTGCATGGGGCTCTCCTGATCTGAAGTAGTCCTGCCTCATCCAGCAGGGAGACAAGTTACATGGTCATTCTCAGACCATCGAATCTCCACCGTGGCTCTGGCCCTGGCCCTGAATTTAGTTTAACAAAATAGTATGCAGGAAAAGACAGGAAGGTTGTATTCTGTTCCTGTCTAATATTGAGTTCAGCATATGTCAGTATTGCCATGTAGGCTGTCAGAAGGCCCATGCATGTCCTGTGGTCCTGGGACAGCTGGAGGGGCACAGGCTCAAGCACTTACACTGCCAGAGGAAGGGCTCTCTCTGCACCGTGTGTGTGTGTGTGTGTGTCAGGACTGTACACCAGGGGTCCAGGCATCAGGGAAGAAGCTGTGGGGCTGGGCAGTGTCTATTACTGTGGACAGGTGACTTCCCACAATGGAGGCCGAGGGTCCTACAGCCCTGGCCTCGCTTCTGCCACCTGCTGCTTCAAGAGTGAGCTTGGGCTCTGCCTCTCCTCCCTCCTTGAGTGGATGTGAGGCTTCCCAGGATGGCAGGCAATAGCATCTTCCTCTGCAAGTCCCCTTTACTGTCACCCCAGCGGCATGATCGAGCAGGGGTCCCGTGGTCTGGGGGCTGTGTGGACACCACTGACTGCTCACTTCTGCCCTAGTTCCAAGGCTCTCAGGCCCCCGACAAGCCCTGGTGTGTTCGGGGCCTTGCAGAACTTCAAGGAGGACAAACCCAAGCCCGTGCGGGATGAGTATGAATACGTGTCTGACGACGGGGAGCTCAAGATCGACGAGTTTCCCATCAGGAGGAAGAAGAACGCCCCAAGAAGGGACTTGTCCTGTGAGCTGGGAGGGGCCGGGGGGGGGGACTTGGGGAGGGACCTGGCCCAGCCCACGAGAGGTCAGGCCAGCGCTGGACCTCCTGCCTGCTCTGCTTTCAGTCCTGTTGGATCAGAAGGAGGTGCTCCCCACGCCCATCCTGAAGCCAAAGCTGGGATCGGCTGCATACAAGGTGAGCTGCTCGGGGCCCTGCTCTGTGGCCATCTCTGGGCAACCCTTGATGGGGTGGTCTCTGAGCATGTTTCTGTGCGAGGTGGTGAAGGGCATCCTCCTCCTCACCCTGCCCTTTTCTGGGCTCGGCGCAGGAGGGATAAGTGTGTCTAGCCCGTAGCCACCAGGGCTGGGAGCGGGCCTGAGCAGGGGGTCTCTGCACATGGTGGGGTGATGAACGCAAGACCTGCCCATAGGACTGAAGGCTGGGGGGAGGAGTCTTGCACTGAGATGACGTCCAAGGCCACATCCTAGATGCAGTGGTCGTCTCTAAGGAGGCTGGGGTCCCTGTCAGGGTCCCACACACATGAGATACCCCTGAGCCTCCTACCTAGATGTGAGGCTAACTGGCTTCCTCAAGCCTGGGGCTGCAGTCACAGCCGGCCCTCTCTCCATCAACCACAGCAGCCTCTCTGTCTGTGTTAAACACTGGGACTGTCTCTTGTGTGGGTTTCTTTGAACCAGAGTTCCTGTGTAAAACAGTACAGATGGGAAGATAGCTTGGTCCCTTGTCATCCTGGGGGAAGCTCTGGCACCTGCCACTGCCCGATGTGTGGCTGGCCAGCCAGTCTCGTCAGTGCTGGGGCTTCCGTCAGACCCAGCAGTGTTCATTAGTAGGGCAGGGTTCTTCAGAAACTTTAAAACCCAATTTTTCTCCCTGAAGGGAAAAAGTAATCCCTTTCTGTCCTCCCAAGCCCCTCCTGTGGCCAGCCCCTCCTTTGACCAGCTGCTCTGTCCCTCGCACAGCAAAGCGATGACTCCTCCGATGAGGGCTCGCTGCACATCGACACAGACACCAAGCCTGGCCGCAACGCCAAAGTCAAGAAGGAGAGCGGGAGCTCGGCGGCTGGCATCTTGGACCTGCTGCAGGCCAGTGAAGAGGTCGGCGCGCTGGAGTACAACCCCAACAGGTGGGCCCCGCTGTGCCTGGCTGCACCTGGCTGCGCCCACAGGGTGGCCACTAGGATGGCACGCCATGGGGCAGAGATACTGGTCCATCCAGCCTCTGATTCCAGAGAACTGGGTCAGACCATGAGGTCTGGGGTTCATTCCTCTCATGACAGCCCCAGGTAAATTCTGTCTGAATCACAGGTTTTCCTTTTTTTATTTTTAAATCACTGCAACCGTGGAAAACATGGAGATCTTATGGCAATTTCTACATGTGCCATAGTCATGTAACTGCGAGTGTGGGGCCTGCATCCCCAGGTGTGCGCAGGGGACCTCAGCTGCTGTTGGAGGGTACACTCCACCCAACCCTCCTAGTCATCACCACAGCTGCAGATTCCCACTGTGCAGACGAACGCTCTGAGGCTCAGAGAGCTTGGACAACTTGCCCAGGGCCACACCACTAGGAGGCAACAGGGCAGGCCCAGAGTTTCTGTCTGCCTGATTCTGGGACCCGAGCTTAGGGTTCCAGGAGGGTTGACAGGTGCTGGGCTGTGATTTCCCGGTATGAGTGCCCCTGTCCAGCAGGAGGGCCTCGGCCTGAGGAAGGTGGGCCCAGTGGCCTGCCAGGCCCACACCTGCTTAGTGCCTGCCCTGTTTCCTAGATCTGCCTCTGAGTCTCTGGTTTGCAGTGGTTGACACAGCGCTGCTCGGCTGACAGTTCAGCAAAGCCTGAGGGCTGCTGGGGGCAGGCCGAGGCCGCAAGTGAGGGCTGCTCTCAGGATAGAGGGGCTCTGGGAAGGTGGCTTAAGGGCTCAGTCGACAAGAGCTTGGGCTGAGTCAGTTGGCTGTATTTTATTTCATAAATTGCTGTTTTGCATGCAGTATTGTGTTCACAGACAACCAGCCATGAGGCGCTTTCTTTTAATGGGAATGCAGGATGACCGGAGGTGCCACTGGCGCTTTGGGGTACAGATCTCCTGCTCTGCATTTGATGGTTACTGTCCACATTCAGACCTAAGCCCCTGCTGCAGAGATGTGCTGCTAGCCAGGAGGGGCGCCTGGCTCTGAGCCCTCCTTCCCATTGGAGGCTGTGGCCCTGTGTGGGCTTCAGCAACCTTCTGGGGGATGCCCATGTTCTGGGAAGAAGTGTGCCCTAGCTGACACTGGGTGACTGGCCTCAGGGCCTGGAGAAATCCCCAAACACCTGGGCACCCCCTGAGATCCTTGGAGAGGCCTGGGGGACCCAGGGGCCGGGCATGCCTGAGGCCACCCAAGATGAGTACAGACCCAGCTGAGAGACTTGGCCAGGACCATCAGGTGCTTTGTCAAGGGCAGCTGGGAACCCTTGGAGGTGTGGAGATGAGGACACAGGTAGGGGAGGGCTCTGTGCCGCATTTGAGGAGGTGCTGTGTCCTGCGTTCCTGGCTGTGACTCAGCCCAGGAGAGGGCAGCCTGTCTGTGGAAACACTGCTAAGGAGAAGCCCAGATCTGCCCCTGCTGCGTCTTGGGGCAGCAGCTCTGCAGACACCCGCGTGTGGCCTCACACGTGTGCACACGTGCCTGCCAGGGGCCTCCGAGGCTGCCAGCCCCCACAGCCTGCTGCCCCAGGCAGTTCCTCTCCCAAAGTCACCGTTTTGGAGCGTAGGTCAGTTTTTGATGGTCTGTTTCCTCTGTTTTAAGTACTGGCTGTTTGGAAGAAACAGCTGAAGAAAATGGAGGAAAATATGTTAATTTCTTGGGGATGGTTTGCTTAGTGTTTACTGCTGGGGGAAAAAGGAGAGGATTTTGGTATGATAATTAGAGGATTAAAGTATTATTTTCCATGCCGACTGGTTAAACTTTGCTCATTGATTTGCCAGTGACCACGTGGACAGTTGGGGCGACCAGGCATGTGGTCCCTCCCTCTCAGGCTGTCCAGATGGCACAGGGTGGGCAGCTCGCTTCTGCACTAGCTCCAGAAGGGGCCCCACCATGGTGTTTGGGACCCTCTACGGTGGGTGTCCTGGTGCGCCCATGGCTCAGGTGCAGACCCCACCCTCCGGTCCATCTAGTACCTGCAGGCTGGGTGCGTGACAGGGAAGGCTAAGCCTAGAGGGTGCAGACCCCACCCTCCAGTCCATCTAGGACCTGCAGGCTGGGTGCAGGACAGGGAAGGCTAAGCCCGGAGGGTGCAGACCCCCCCCTCCGGTCCATCTAGGACCTGCAGGCTGGGTGCAGGACAGGGAAGGCTAAGCCCGGAGGGTGCAGACCCCACCCTCCGGTCCATCTAGGACCTGCAGGCTGGGTGCAGGACAGGGAAGGCTAAGCCCGGAGGGTGCAGACCCCACCCTCCGGTCCATCTAGGACCTGCAGGCTGGGTGCAGGACAGGGAAGGCTAAGCCCGGAGGGTGCAGACCCTACCCTCCGGTCCATCTAGGACCTGCAGGCTGGGTGCAGGACAGGGAAGGCTACGCCCAGAGGGTGCAGACCGAGCTGTTTGCTCCTGTTGGCCCGAGCAGGGCCTGGGGAGGATACAGCAGTGACCAGGCCCAGGCAGCCCCTGGCCTGCAGTGCCTTGGCCCCTGCAGTGTGGAGGGTGCAGGGCCCAGCTCTGTAAGGTGCTCCCTTAGCTTCTGAGGAACTCTCCAGGCCAGTCTGATCACACTTGATTTTCCCACTGTTGTGGCTTTGGAACCTCAATCCGCTCAGTTCCAGCAAAACCCCAAAACACGCTGATGTCCAGTGTGTCTCAGGCAGGTCCTGGGAGGTGGCATTTGTCGAGGGCTGCAGAGAGGGGCTCCTCCCAGGCTTGGGCAAAATCCCTCTGAGTTCCCTGGACTCTCAGAGAGCTGTGGGCCTAGGCCCCAGCACTGTCCCATGCAGACAGCTTTTGTCCAAGTCTGCCTGACTGGCCCCAGGACTGCAGGCCACCCTCTGTGCCTGTGCTCACTGGGGCAGCTCTATTTCCCAGCCCCTTCTGGCACACCCTGTCTCGGGAGCCCTCACTTCTGAGCAGGGGCTCATCTGGGTCCCTGGTAGGGCTGCTGCTCCAAGCGCCTCAGCCCCTGTGTCTGGTGACTCTGGGCAGGCACAGACCTGCTGAGCTGTGTGTGCTGTCTCCAGCAAGGGTGTAGGTACAGGAGCCCACACACATACAGAGCGGCACATGGATCTGCACAGCACCTGGGGGCACTCATGGCCATTCACAGTCAGCGTTCTGGCCTTGGGCTTGTCACACATTCATCTGCCACCCCACTCCCTTCTCGCAGTGGCTTGTGATCCCTTCTTGTTTGAGTGGTCTTACCAAGAGTGCATCAGATACTTCTTAGAAGTAGTGGGGAAATGTGGGGATTTCTATCCTGGTGGCACATGGGCACCTGAAGCCCAAAGTAGGCCCCTGACTCGATTCTCTGGGTGGGGTCTGGGCATTGGCATTTTTAAACTGCCTGGGTGGTTCTGGTGCAGGACACGTGGTGGCTTCTGGCTGCAGGTGGGTGTGGACCGGAGTGGGGCAGGGTCCGACCGGGAGACTGGAGCTGGACACCATGGGAGGTTCTGGTGGGGATGGGGAGAGTCCCTGTGAGGAGCCTGAGATTGGGGCCTTGAGGGTCCTCTTTTGGGTGATAGTGATCACTCCATTCCATTCCCACCTGAGCCCAGGCAGGCCTATCACACGCTGGGTGTTTCAGAAGCCCCTTCTGGAAGGAAGGGAGCCAGTGCAGCCAGGAGAAGCCACAGACACAGGCCTGGGGCAGGGGATGAGGACGTGGCTGGGAGAGTGCAGGCTAAGTGCTATGGGCAGCACCACCTGGGGCTGGAGGGTGGTGGGGACAGAGGAGAAGGTGTTGACAGGAAAGGCTGGGAGTCTGTGTGGAGGCTTCCAGAGAGGGCAGGTGAGCTTGGGCTGAGCTGAAGTGCAGCTGTGCCTGTCCATGTGAAGTGTAGGTGCAGGTGCAGGTGTGTGCAGGGGTAGATGCAAGTGTTGATGCTGGTGTGGGTGCAGGTGCAGGTGTGTGCAGGTGTGGATGCAGATGTTGATGCTGGTGTGGGTGCAGGTGCAGGTGTGTGCAGGTGTGGATGCAGATGTTGATGCTGGTGTGGGTGCAGGTGCAGGTGTGTGCAGGTGTGTGCAGGTGTGGATGCAGATGTT